TTAATTATATCACTATCATTATCAATATCATTATTAGTCTTGTCTTATTAATATTTTTATTATTATTATTATTATTATCATTATTATATTATTATTATTATTATTTCCATTGTTGTTGTTATCATCTATTCGAAGAAGGCCATCCACTTCGTGGTCCAGAAAGATTCCAGAAGAACTTTCTGTGAGATTTCCATATAACGGTCGAAATCAGGCCAAAAAAGTATCAACAAAAAAAATCATTGGCAAGATTGACTGCTCACAGTCCACCGTCTGCTCTGAACAAGACAGGTATCGATCTATCGATCTCTAGATAACAGCTGAGGGGCGGCAATCGGCGACACTTGGCTGCCTTAAGTGTTTAAGCGGCAACTGATTTGCCGAGCAAAGATTGATAGCTAATACAGCTGAAAGCTGCCAGTGCGTGTATGTGTGTGTGCAACTCGCCTTTCAAAACAGCGCAGTCGTAGAATAGTAGAATGAGACAGCGGCTCCAATTTAACGTACCACCAAACCCTCTCTGGTACCACTTAGAATACTTAGATAGCAACGAACCAAAGGCACTCACTGAAAGCTGCGAACAGCCTCCATACTACCTTAAACGCACAGAGCTTGCTGTTGAGATGGAAATTGAGCTAGATAAAAAGCGGAAAGGTATTTTAAATTTTTTTTACTATTATTACGTAATTTCAAGAATGCTTCATTTTGGATTTGAACCCGATTAACCCACACAGCAGTCTATCATCATGACAGCTCAACTGGTAAGAATCTACTTGACATATCTTTCGATAAAATAAAAATACCCCTCGATATCAGTTGTTTAGCGACCACATTATTCATCATCGGTTCATTAGTACACCAGTGATGAAAGTGGTGTGTAGAGAGTTTGCCCCCGTTGAACTCTTTCTACTTCTACAAACGCTGGTAACAAATCGGTGATATCGTCGCGGTGAAATCAGGCGCTCGTCAAAACAATAAAATCTAAGAAAACGGTACCCCCTCCC